CTCGTCCATCATCCTCTTCGGGAACCTGTCCCGCTCCGGCCGCGCCGACTCCGAGGTTTTCTCGGAGCAGATCCTCAACGGGCTGGCGCCGCTGCTGCTGCACCTGCAGGACCCGCAGCCCGGCGTGGTCAAGGTGGGATTCCCGGGAATTCCCGGCGTTCCCGGCGCTTCGGGGGATGCCCGTCCCGGATCGCCGGCGTTCCCGCTTTTCCAGGCGTGCAAGTTCGCGCTGCGGATGTGCGGGCCCGGCCTGGGCTGCGAGCAGCTCCGGGAAATGTTCGGGAATCACCTGCGGGAAGAGCGGGCGCTGCACTACGGGGAGTTCACCAACGACGTCTGCAAGTTCCTGGTGGGACATCGCCGGGATTTTGGGATGTTGGGAATTTGGGATGTTGGGATTTTGGGGTGTTGGGATGTTGGGAATTTGGGATGTGCGGGGACTGCACTATGGGGAGTTCACCAACAACGTCTGCAAGTTCCTGGTGGGACGTTGCCGGGATGTTGCCGGGATTTTGGGATGTTGGGATTTTGGGATGTTGGGATTTTGGGATGTTGGGATTTTGGGATGTTGGGAATTTGGGATGTGCGGGCGCTGCACTACGGGGAGTTCACCAACGACGTCTGCAAGTTCCTGGTGGGACGTCGCCGGGATTTTGGGATGTTGGGAATTTGGGATGTTGGGATTTTGGGATATTGGGAATTTGGGATTTGGGGATATCGGGATTTTGGGATGTTGGGGTGTTGGGATGTTGGGATTTTGGGATATTGGGAATTTGGGATGTGCGGGGACTGCACTATGGGGAGTTCACCAACGACGTCTGCAAGTTCCTGGTGGGATGTCGCCGGGATGTTGGGATGTTGGGAATTTGGGATGTTGGGAATTTGGGATGTTGGGATTTTGGGATGTTGGGAATTTGGGATGTGCGGGGACTGCACTATGGGGAGTTCACCAACGACGTCTGCAAGTTCCTGGTGGGATGTCGCCGGGATTTTGGGATGTTGGGAATGTGGGATGTTGGGATGTTGGGATTTTGGGATGTTGGGATTTTGGGATGTTGGGAATTTGGGATGTTGGGATTCAGGGATGTTGGGATGTTGGGATGTTGGGATGTTGGGATGTTGGGATATTGGGATATTGGGATATTGGGGATGTGCGGGCACTGCACTACGGGGAGTTCACCAACGACGTCTGCAAGTTCCTGGTGGGACATCGCCGGGATTTTGGGATGTTGGGAATTTGGGATGTTGGGAATTTGGGATGTTGGGGTGTTGGGATGTTGGGAATTTGGGATGTGCGGGCACTGCACTATGGGGAGTTCACCAACGACGTCTGCAAGTTCCTGGTGGAACGTCGCCGGGATGTCGCCGGGATTTTGGAATGTTGGGAATTTGGGATGTTGGGATGTTGGGACATTGGGAATTTGGGATGTTGGGGTGTTGGGATGTTGGGAATTTGGGATGTTGGGAATTTGGGATGTGCGGGCGCTGCACTACGGGGAGTTCACCAACGACGTCTGCAAGTTCCTGGTGGGACGTCGCCGGGATGTTGTCGGGATTTTGGGATGTTGGGATTTTGGGATTTGGGGATATCGGGATTTTGGGATGTTGGGATATCAGGATATTGGGACATCGTTGGGATATAGGGACATTGGGACATTGGGATATTGGATATTGGGACATTGGGATATTGGGATTGGGATGGGGACACCATGGGGATTCTGGGTTCTGCCATTTCCTTGCATGTCCAGAGTGTCCCCGTGTCCCATATCCCAATGTCCCCAATGTCCCCAATGTCCCCAATGTCCCCCCAATGTCCCCAATGTCCCCAATGTCCCCAATGTCCCCCCAATGTCCCCC